AAATAAATAAAATCCCCTTGTTTCTTGTCCCTACCTTAGCTTCCCTGCTGTGTAACCCATGAGCACATCTCCTCTGGGAAAAAAAAACTCCATCTTCTTCCAAAGAAGGACCTCAGAAAAAGGGCAAAGACCCCAGAAATCTGAACACAAAGAGCTCTGAACGAGTCCCGTGCAACATGGGGACATACAACACAAACACAGTTCATCCCATAAAGGAAGCTTGGCAGCTATGACAGTCCTAAAATTTTCAGAAAAACAGCACGGCTGAATTAAGTAGTAATGATGTAGGTACAGGGCATCTTCCAGGGAATTAATGACTACCTGGGAGGAGCCACAGCCTGAGGCAAAGCCAGGAGCATCTGCCATTCCCAGCCACCAAGCCCCAGGAAAGGCCTAGAGAGATGGAACTCCAATGGGAGGGGCAGGGGGCTCCCGAGCTGGGCAGGAGGAGGCACCTGTCTATTGTCACTGATGGGACGAGGGGCACCAACTACAGCCCACAGCCAGCCTGAAACCTTCCCAGCACGTCTCTCCTGCTCTATCCAAATGCACACAGCTGGGAAAAACAGTGAGCCCAAGCGTGGGATAGGAAGGAGCAGTCCTGATTCTTGGGACATGACATCTTACAGAGACACTGCATGGCACGAGCACAAGCACACTTCTTACACATGTGTACAAAAGTGCACATTAAGTCTTCAGGTTCACAAGCACATCCATAGCACATGCCTTAGAGTTAAACTGCAAATTTAAATGAGAGGAAGGGAGGAAGGAGAAACAGAGAGGTGTGTTTTAGTTCCAATTCTGCCACATACCAGCTCTACAACCTTGAAAACCAGGTAATTGCCTGGGGTCAGCTTTCTCACAGTAAGACCTGTTCTGTCAACAGCTGCAACAGATAGGATCTAGCCCTAACCAGCCCTGCTCCGGGGGCAAGGTACCTCTTCCAGCCAATCCGCCCACCTCCCCAGTCCAGCAGCAAGCCTCAGTCAACTGTAGGCTCCAGGAAGGGGATGGGACCTGTTTTACTGATTGATATACAGCACTTCCTACAGGGCCTACGCACAGCAGGCTCCAAATGGATCCTCCACAAAAGGTTTTTGCTAAAGATAAGGACTCCATAAGTGCAACTGTGAGAAGGACAGAGAGGGAGAGGATGCCATGAGATGATAACACTAACACTACTAGGAATATCTGCATGTCCATTTCACCATTTCACTGAACACTCAACTCAGGCACCAATCTTTGCTCAATTTTTGTGTACTCAGTACATAACAAAGAAGAACTAAACAGTTCTGTTAATCTACTAAATAAGCATGTGTTGAGTGAATGAATGTCTCAACAATGTCACATGCCTTTCCCAGAAAGAGAAGGACAAAATCAGCATGTCAAAACATATATCATGCTATCATATGGATCACATACAAAAGACAACTGCAGGTTAAATGTAGAAATAGAATATTATAAGACTTACCTTTAATTCAACCAGGACTAGAAAAATATAACTAAAGCCATAGGCTACAAGCCTGAATTAGCTGTATAATTAGCAAGTTTGAAAGGAATGAGACAACAAATTATACAGTCGTTTTACAGGCAAAACACTCAAGTAGCCATTACATATTCGAGAATATGGAAACGATTACCAGTTTTTCTTACCATCAGAAAGTTGAGTTTCTGTATAAGGCTGATCATTTAGAAGGATGGCCAGGCATGATGACTCACATCTATAATCCCAGCACTTTGGGAGACGGAGGCGGGAGGATTGCTTGAGTCCAGGAGTTCAAGACCAGCCTGGGCAACATAGCAAGACCTTGTTTGTATTAAAAAAAAAAAAAAAATCAAACAATTAGCCAGGTGCTCGTGTGCGCCTGTAGTCTCAGCTACTCGGGAGGCTGAGGTGAGAGGATCGCTTGAGCCCAGGAGGTCAAAGTGAGCCAGGACTGCACTACTGTACTCCAGGCTGGGCAACAGAGTGAGACTCTGTCTCAAAAAGAGAGGACAAAAATCTCTCATTTAATACAAAAACATTTCTTTTACTAGGTCCAGAGACTGATGACTTTTCATCTTAAAACCTGAAGTGTTTGTGGCAAGAAACTGCATTTGATGAAATAGGAACAGCGAGTCGTGAACTAGATTTGTCTTAGGAGGCTGGTTTCACCCACCAACCTGGGAAAATTATTAGGTGAAAAGTAACCCTTTATGCCATAAAGACTTTTTAAAAAATATAGATTATCAACTTATGTCAAATCCATTTCCAATCAGCAATATCATCCCCACTATTGTAGTACGGCATAATTAAGAAGGCAGCTAAGGTAGGAGACCCCGTGCCATCAAGGTGCCTGGCGCTCTCCAGATGCCAGGGGAAGACAGTTTCAACCTCTTCCCCTACATTCTTGGGCCTGACAACTGCTGCTGTACATACATTGTAGTTTTGTATTAAACTGTTAATTAGAGCTTTGACAAACATAAACCAGGTGTATAAATTTAAGGCATATAATAAAACACATTGTTGACCAAAAAAAAAGATACTGGGAAACTAACCCAAGTGATATCAGAAATCTTCCATTTAGGAGGAAAGGAAGAAAAAAATGGAAAGCTTCTTTAATTAATTGGATTTTACTTTGTTCCAAAAAAGATTTAAGGCACTTTATGTCATTTTGGGCTGATCCTTCCTTAACATTACCACACGGTATACAACTACGGTTGATAAAATCAGGTACAAAGTAGGTTATTCATAACTATCAGGCTTTATATGGCCTCATTTTGTTTGTAATTCATGCATTTCTGTTGGCTTTTACTTTTTAAAGCTACATTTGGAAAGCAGATTGCCATGCTTCTCCATCCTGTCTCTGCACCATCATCTCCCAATGTTTTCACTCCCAGGTTCCCCATCCCTGAAACTGCACACTGTCTTCATGACAGATCTTCTTTCCCTTTAAGGCGGTCATTGGTAACTATTTTTATAAATGACTCTCATCTTATATTTTTTTCCAGGAGAAAAGTAGCACACACACACACATACACATTCAAAAAACAGAAAAAATTAGAAAATTTTATACCCTGAATACAGTAGTCCCCTTATCCAAGGTTCTGCTTTCCAAGGTTTCGGTTACCTCTGATCCAAAAACATTACATAGAAAGTTCCAGAAATAAACAATTCATACGCTTTAAAGTGTATGTCATTCTGAGTAGCATGATGAAATCTTGAGCCATCCCACTCCCGTCCACCTGGAATGAGTCATCCATTTGTCCAGCGTTCTCATGCTGTAAAAGCTACCTGCCCATTAGTCATCTATATTTGTCTGCTCCTGGCATCCGACCATCAACACAGTCAGGCCTTGATGATCCAGGTCACCCAAAGCAGATGCTCCTCCTTCTTTGGTACCAACAGTAGCCTAATGCTATAGCACAATGCCTAAGTCATTCATCTGACTTCATCTCATTGGGTAGGCATTGTAACATCTCACTTCATTCCAAGGATTATAGTACAATAAGATATTGAAAGAGAGAGAAAGATCATATTCACATAACATTCATTACAGTATATTGTTATGTGTTCTATTTTATTAGTAGTTATTGTTATTAATCTTTTACTGTGCCTAATTTGTAAGTTAAGCTTTACCATAGGTACGTATGCAGAGGAAAAATCACAGTATATATGGTATAGGGTTCAGTTTTATCAGCGGTTTCAGGCAACCACTGGGGGTCTTGGAATGTGAATAAGTGGGACTACTATACTCCTAACACCTGAAGATAACCGTTCACTCAGCATTAGCCCTTTTTGACCTGTTTACTTCCAGTCTTTAATCTAAGCAGAGATTCAATTTTGCACTTTGCTTTTTTATACCACAGTGATCATATTGGGATTTTCACATTCCACAGAATCATCCAACAGTTCTTAAGTTGTGATGTTTATTAGTAGTCTGTAACTTTTAATGACTGTAATGAGGGAATACTCTTCCACTATAAGTAAGCAGATCCAACCAGATTGAAGCATATGAATCTGCCATTATAAATGGCAATTTCTTGTTGTTCTGTCTAATATTTGCACATTTTGATGTTCTGATTGCTTCTAATTTCTTATAATTGTAAATACCATTATAGCTAATATTCTTCGTGTATAATGCTTTCTCTAGGTTTTAGACACAGGAATTACAGATTAAATACATAAATATTTACCTGCAAAGCTCTAGTCATATATCACCAAAATACTTACCAAAATAACGATGTCAATTTTAAATCCCTTATCAATATGCGATAGCGACAATTTCACTATACCCTAACCAGTACCGAATATTCTTCAGTAGCTATTTTATGTCATATTCCCTGTGTGATAATGTTGACTGGGTAGAGGCCCTGTACCATTTTTGACATGGCCCTGTGTACATTTCCCCAGTACCAAAGATAGTGCACATCTTCATAACTGCCAAAACATCTCTGTGAGACACACTTTTATCTCCATTTTAGTAATGAGTTAAACAAAGTCCAGTAAGATTAATCCATTTGCCCAAAGTCACCTAGTGAGTGCCATGCCATGAAATGAATCCAGCTCTCATGAGTGTCCACTACAGAGGCCAGAAAAGCAAATGGGTTTCATCTTGCATGCCCCCCTGGATCAACAACCTAGAACTCCAAGAGGTGAGACTGGGTCCCAGTCCACATTCATCTAGAAAGAGTGCTATGAGCAACTGACCCATGCAGGAGAGGTAGTTGTAACCACATACTCCAGATTGCTTCTCAATCATTTATAAACAGCAAAAGCAAAACAAAACTACAAAGCAATGCTAACAAGAATAAGTTTAAATTATTAAATGCAATAATTATATATAGTTGGATAATATTCTCTGATTTGAAAAGATACATTTAAATCCAATGAAAGTTTTATTTTGTTTGTGGCATTAATTTTTTTCTCAAATGTTGCTTGAAAAATCAAGAGCAAAATGGTTATACAACTAAGAATAGGCTTAGTAATTAACATGTATACATTTGTCAAAAATAGTTACCTGATTATCATATTTAAGAGACTGTGTCCCAACCAAAAACCGAATGGCATCTGTTTCTGCAGTTTGAGGTGTTAAAGCACGTGCCTGCAGGAGGGAAGGAAAATGCATACACATTTATGAAGTTAGATTTAATAGAGATTAAAAACGCAGTTCATCTCATCTACTGTTGATGAAGTATAAATTAGTATAGAGTATATGGAAGGCAATTTAGAAACATGTATTAAAAGGCTTAAACTTTTGCACACTTCTAACACAATAATTCCACTTCAAATTTGTACAAGGAAATAATTGTAAATGGGCACAAAAGTTAAGGAATAAAGATATAACTTACGTACACTATAATTTTTTAGTAAAATCATTATTTCATAGTCACAGATTAATTGAACAAAATTATACCTCAACAATACAGCAGAAAATAGCATCCAGCAATAGCAGAGAAGACAGTTTAAACCAACTCTTCTGCAGACAACAACTAGAAAAGCTAAAGGAATACTCAGAATCTGTTTCAAGGCCTCAGAGAATTGCCAAGGCAGTGAAGACATGCCAAGATCCAGGTCAGGAGAGAAGCTGGGGAGAAAGCTCGGACATGAGGCCACTTCTTACCTATAGGCCTCTGTCAACTTGGAAAGTGTGGTTATAAGGCTGATGCTGAGGTGCACTTTGACAGACTAAGGGAGCTTGGGACACAAAACACCCCAGTAGCCGGGCTCAGTGGCTCAGCCTGTAATCCCGCGCCTTTGGGAGGCTGAGGTGAGTGGATTGCCTGAGCCCGCGGGTTCGAGACCCGCCTGGGC